TCTGTCATAAATTTCTCACTCTCACTGAGCAACGAAAGCAACTCAGTTCAGGGGCCACTCAGCCCGGACTAACCGGATAACAAACAGCATGCGAGTATTAAACCAACACACACTCCATCCACTCGCCCACCAGCGTCCCTCTGCTGTCAATTTAAATGCATTTTGCTCTTTCACGTTTAACACGCGCGTTTTCTTTGTGCAATTTACTGCCTGACGACGGATGCAGCACGCAAGGCGTCGCGCCTCTATGCTTCCCTCCCTGATCCGTTGCCTAGTTACTTCTGAAACGCCCCTGAACTCTTGTCAGGATTTGCCATGTGCCATGTGCGATGTGCCATGTGCCATGTACTATGTGAGTGTGTGTATCAATGTGTGTGCCACATGCGCAAAATATTACTGCGTAGTTTACAGCTGCTTTTGCCAACCAACCCAGAGCCACCCCTTACCCCAGCCGCTTGTTTTTTACAGCCACAAGCCAGAAGCCAATGCCAATTTCTTGAGACATGCTTCAAGTACGCAGCTTGTCGGCCAAATAAACAGTGCGCAATTTGCCGCGAGTTTGTTTGTTTGGCTCCTAAACACAAACCTCTCCAAGCTAACAATAACAAGGAGATAAAACCGCTCTCGAATTAATCACAAATTCATTTCGCTCCTTACCATATCGACATTTCCAGGAAAGGGCCCGCCCACAGGACGGGATAGGACAGAACTGATTTTCCTTTTATTACCAGAAAACTAACGGGTATAACCCGGCCTGGCCCGTCAATAAAATTTACGTGAAAGTTTCTAGGGATCTTCGCGTTTTTAATGTTGCATCTAAAAACCATATTTAAAAAATTGTCATTAAAATAGCGTAAAAGAAACAAGCCATGGAAAACTACTACTTAAATCACTTTCCTTGTTTTTCCTACACAAATAATAGATTAAACGCAATCAAAAATATATATATATATATTAAAATTTATATACGTATGTATATATAATGAATATAGTAATTCCCCCCAGCTCAGAGTTCCATGTGGTCAAAGGGCTGTCATGCGATGCGTAAAGATCTTTTTAAAGGCAACTGGCAAAAAAAATAGCGGGCAACATTTGATAAGCAATTTCCATTGACGTTTTCACTGTCAACAACAACAACAACAACAATTACAACAGCAGCAACAACACTCAAAATACAACTAGAAAGAACAGCAGCAACAAATAGAAAGAACACGAATGCGCAACAGAAAGCGCAATCAAATCAAAATCAAGCAATGAAAATATATTCATTAAATATTTGCCCGCCCCTCCCAACGCCAACGCCTATCATCCAACGTTAACGTCAATGGAAATGAGTGAAATAATAACAAGAAAACGAAACTGAAGAAGCGCCATAACAAAACAGACACTTGAAAATAGGTGTGGACAATGTGTTTGGTCGGAAAATGGTGCCGGGGGCCTGTATATGTATGAAAGCCAAAGTTGACAGTTGGCAAAAGTTTTAGGCAGTTGCAATATTTATAAATCGATTATGCATGGAAAATCAATAGACACGCGCCAAGCACACACTGAGCAAGCGAGCGAGCGAGAGAGAGCAGTAGATATAGAGGGAAGAAAGGAAAGAGAGAGCGAGTGTGCGCTTGGTAAGAGATATAGATGGATGGCCCATAGCTGACTGACTGACTGGGTGGTTGGGTGGTTGGGTTGGCTTGGCTTGGCTTGGTCATTAGCGACGCCAACGTAAACTGACGACACTGAACGGTGACGGCTAAAGGAAAATCTTGAAAATGCCCTGCCGCACACTCGGCAAAACAACAACAATAACCAACCTGTCTCATTATTCTTGTTTTGCTTCTTCCATGCCCTGTTTTTCTTTTTTTTTTTGTGACTATTTTGTTGGCTAATAAAGTCATAAGGTCAGACGTACATAGAGAGAAAAACAACTGTACAACTGTACAACATGCACGCATTAGACGACAAATTGTTGACCGCGTTCTCTCCCAATGGACGAGGTAACCAGCCAAGCCAGACAGTCGGCATAAGTCGGGTTAGTCATTATAGCCCTATATGGCCAGCATGCGTGTAACTGAGATGGAGTATTACGTATAATTTGCCTGAACTCTATGCAGAGAATCAAGAACTTTGGCATAGAGTCTATCTCTATTTACTATTAAATTGTTTAGACACAAATTCTGTCTAAAAAGTGTCTTAACGGTCGCCTCTATTAGGCGGACTACCCCTCTTCTGCGGACAATTTCTCTCTAAAATCATGAATCAGGCCATACCCATTCCGACCCCGTTAAGACACTCCTCTTGTGCTCAAGAGAGTTTTCACAGTAGTATACAGTTTTCTCTCAGTAATTAAAACAGATTTTCCTCAGTATTTTCCATTCACTTCGATGATCGGAAATCAAGTGGAATTCTGTTGTTACATACATACTTTCAAAGATCTATATTGTGCGGAATATGTGCGGATATTTTTATTTTTAAATCGATTCTAACGGTTTTAGTTTTTTAAGCTCTCCATAATTTTGCGCTCAAAAAGTTTTCGCTAGCTCGCAACATTTTTGGTACAGGGTATTTTTTAGTTGTCTGTCAAAATCCATGTGCTTTTCTTATATTTTTGTTGTATGATTTTGGAATTGTCCCAAAGCAACATTAATGTTGTTTTCTTTTTGGTGTTGGTTTCTTTTAATGTCTATGAGTGTGTGTATGTGTGTGTGGAAATAACATAATAATTGTAGCTCCACCCCTCTACTCCCCTGAATAGTGCTCGTAATTGTGTCCCCAGCTGTCGCTGGTGGCACCGTTAACTTTGTCGGTTTCCTTTTCATTTTCATTTCACTTATATTAAATCTACGGCTAAATATTTGTGTACGTGTGTGTGTGTCTGTGCAAACCACGCCCACTTAATATTAAAATTAATTACATAAATTCTGTGTAAAATGCATTTAATATTTTGCAAACATTAACGCTCGTCTCTTTCGCTCGCCCTCTCGCTCTCTCTTTCTGACGCAACACATACATATGCACTCTGGAATTTCACATGTATATGTATGTGTACATATATATACATTACACTCATATATAGCATCTATAGGCGCTTGCCATATGAGAATCCTTACAATGGCCACATAACAGCTATGCAAACTCAGATGCAACATTTCTAACAACTAGCTGCTGATTGCTTTATGAACGGTCGTGCGCGGGGGTGGGGCCGAGGGGATTTACTCTACAGTTCCGGGCAGCACTGGAACTTGGTCGTTTGTCAATGCGATTCGAGCCGCCCACCCGGGGCATTTCGACATTTCCATTTTCCAATCCCAACAGCTGTCGTCGGCAGTCAAGTCGATCGCATTTTAAGTCTGTGTCACTCATACGCTCTGTGGCCCAGTCGAGAAAACTGCAACTAGCTCTCTCCCTCTCTCTCTCTCTCTCTCTGCCTCTTTCTCTGTTGTTGTGTATCTGCTGTGTGTGCGTGCATTCATTTGGCATGTTTAACAAGTTTCCACCGAGCATTTGCTGATTTTTCTCTAACTTGCATGCCAAATCGAAATACGAACATCACAAAGACAAAGATAAATACAAATGAGTATATTCCCTGGGTTAGGGTGCAACTTAAAAGTACTGTCATATGTTCTTTAGTGTCGTTATATTAAATGCAATCGTTTGTTTATTGTTTTCTTAACATGTTCTTAATCCATTTGCTTGCCTGTTTCTCTCTCTCTCTCTGTGTGTTCGAAAAATAACTTCAAGCCAAAAAATATTAATTAAAGGCTCTTTTACATAAAATGGAAGTATTCTATCATAAGTTGGCTCTTTAATTTTTACTCGTTTTCAAAGGTCTATCGGATTGGATTATTCACAAAAGATAATGAGGAATTGATTATAAGTTGAACTGTTTCACATGCCTCGTAATCAAATATATAATGCTTAGAGTTGCCCTAATTCAATTTAGAAATTAGTCTTAGCCTTATTCGCCATTAATTCAATTAAAACAGTTTTCAACACACACAGAAAACATTCTACATGCTAGTTGGATATACAGGCAGGCAGACAGGCAAACGTGACCATTTGCAGTTCTAGGCGTCTATTAATGTTTAATATATATACTCCTATATGCCGATATGGCATGACAAAGTCTATTGAACCCTCATTAACTGAAGAATTGAGAAAGGAAAACCAGCTCGTTTTTATTGCTAGTTTGCGTTTGTAAATTCCCCCAGCTTTAGCTTTTCTGCTTCTTCTATTTCAAGTTGAATGAAATCAACGCAATGACAAATTCAATTTGCAAACTGCAAATTATAAACGAGTAGCAAATGTTGAGTTGACAGCGGCAACGAGTCGGGCGTTTGTTGATCTACAGTGAAAACTCTAACAAGCACAGAAAATTGACATTTCGAGTTCAAGGATATGTCGAAGTTGTATTAAATATATCTTCTATTCAATATTGGTTTTATCCTAAACTGAATAAATTGTATAATAATTTACTTGCAGTGCTGCAAAGCGGCAAAAGTAGTTAGAGAAATGACTCGCACTTAAATATTGCAACGTCTGTCCATTCGTACAGTTTTTACTGTATTTCCGAGTTGCCAAACCATTTGCGGTTATGAAGCAAAATTGTGTTCGACGCAAACGTCGATTTATCAAGCAAAGAGCATCATTTACATGTGGCCAACTGGTGCACCAAAACCAGTCACACTTTATTGGATCATTTGTCAGCGGAAGGGAGGGGAGGAGAGAGAGAGAGAGAGAGAGTTTTTTATACAATTAGCAACGCGAGTGAATGGCACCTGAAATCAGAGTTTGGTCAATGTCGTGGTTGTTATCTAGCTAAAGATATGACAGAGAGAAGCGCCACAATGTTGATAAGATAAGCTTGAAAACAAATTCAACAAAAATATAAAGAATAACCAATTGTTATATGACATTTCTTGGCATTTTGCTGAACTATTTCTGTTTTTCATTTTAATCTCTGACTGTGTGATTTAATGCTCTTCTTCCTCTTCTATCAATTGCAGTGCATGTATTGCCAAAAAGGAAATAAGGAAACAACGCTAAGACTAAAAGAAAAATCACGCTAAAACAAACGCGCGCGCACACACACACACACACACACATACACGCTCCTGCATACACCACACACACACACACTCACCCACACAGAGAGCAAGCTGAGCGTGAGAGCGAGCGAGAATATGTGAACAGTTTTCATAAACAGCAAATTCTCCAATAGTCTCTTTCTCTCTCTCACACGAAAACGAATTGATGTGCCATTCAGAGCAGCAAGCAACATAGAAGCTAAGCGAGTATTACAACAATCACAAAAACAACAACAACAACAACAACACCAACAACCAAAATAAGGCGCATATAGTTAATGCAACAATCCCTCCATTAAACAACAAGAAAAACAACAACAAAAGCAGCAAAACAAAACGAAACAGCACACAAAAAACGCAGGTGAGTGCCGGAATTTTCACGTTCTAAAAGCTATTCTTAACCGACCGAGTTTTTCATTAAATATAAAATCACTTTTCCCATCCATTTTGCGATCAAAGCGGGGATGTTTCATCAGTGCTTTTAAGCACGCCAAGAGTTTTAACGTACATAGTTCTCCGAGTCGAACGAAAGATGAGAGAATTATATTGAAGAGTTTTTCGCTCATTTTCCAAAGGTCAATTTGGTTTATCCAAAAAAGGGCTTAAGGTATTCGTAGGGCCTTCACAAGTGCTTGATTTTCGAGCTGGAAAATCTAATCTATTCAAAATTGGATTTACCGAAAATAAATGAGCCTCTATTCCACTCTGCGATACTTTCTCGTCGGAGTTTTCTCACTTACGGCATTAAAGTAAATTATTGTACGATATACAGCTTTGCTGGCGCTACGGTTTCATCAATCCAAAAATCAATCAGTCAATCTATTAATCGATCTATGAAACAGTCAAACAATCAGTCAGTCAGTCCTTCCATCACTCGGCCAATGATTCATATATTTATGAGTATATATATTCGGTCAGTGAGTCAGTCAACCAATCAATAAGTCAACTTTTTAGTAATGCTGATTTTTCTTTTGCAGTGTAACGAATTTAAAACAACAACACGAAATTAATAGGCAACAAGTTGCAAGCAGCAACAACAAGCTTTGGAAAGAACCTTCTCCGTAGCCAGGCGTAACGCGTGTTAGATGCCAAGATAAGTCGCTATCGTTTCAATACCGCCATCAACATAACCCAACAACTACAGCAGCAACAGCAGCAACAACAACAACAACAACAACAGGAGCAGCAACAGCATAAGGAAGCAGCCAGAATACCGTTAAATAGCAACCGTGCGGTACGTGCCACAAACAATTGCAAGACGCCAAACTCAACGGCAAAAGTCGCCAACATAACACATAAAATATTTGGCTGGCTACGCAAGACGCGCAACAAGAAACCAGTCGCGATCCTCAGCAGCGATTTCGACGAAGACGGCGACGAGGGCGTGGGTGTGGGCGTGTGCGTGGTGGGCGCATCTGGTGCAGCCGGCGGGGCGTTGGACGATCAAATTTCTACATTGGCAAGCGTTGGAATCAAAGCCGGCAAGCTGAATACCACACAGTCAGCCACGGAGACCGCCATCGATACAAACGAACCCAAATCTGAAAAGATGTCATCGGGCACGTTTGTGGATCGAATCGACCCGTTCGCCAAACGTTCGCTAAAAAAGAAGAGTAAAAAAAGTCAAGGTTCCTCGCGCTACAGAAACTCTCAGGATGTTGAGCTGCAGCAATTGCCGCCACTAAAAGGTAGCTAAACTATATGGAATAAATATTAATAAATATTATATTAATTAAAACCCCTCTCCCTTTGCTCCATCTACAGCCGATTGCTCGAGCCTGGAACAGGAGGAGCTGTTTATACGGAAACTACGTCAGTGCTGCGTATCATTTGACTTTATGGATCCTGTAACGGACTTAAAGGGCAAGGAAATCAAACGAGCTGCTCTCAATGATCTATCCACCTATATAACACATGGGCGCGGCGTGCTTACGGAACCGGTATATCCCGAAATAATTCGCATGGTAAGTACCCCAATAATATGAATGTGCTCAAAAAATGGTGCAATATCAAATTGGAATCAATTAGATGACAAATAACTGGTTGGTTATTACCTTAAAACCAGGAAAAACCTTAACATATTTTTTTGAAAGTAATAAAAGAAAGAAAGCCTGGGTTTCGTAGCATTGAGAATCTAGAGTATTTTACTTATGCATCATACATAAGCTTTAATCAAAATTAAAAAAGGGGAAAACGTAGTTTGTTAGAAATAGAATTTTTGCTTGTTTTATCAATTAGCAATTAAAGTTTCAGAATATTCAAAAATAAAATGCTAAAGTTATTTAAGAATTCAAAATATACTGTGCGAAACGAGAAGAAGATGCATATTGAGCACAGCAGGCGGCACACATGTTTATTGGGATATATAAGTAAATGCTAATGAATTTTACGCCCATTCGAAGTTGGGTATTAAGCGGATCGTTGCTGTTTATTTGCTTAGCATAAAATCTCTATATGTCTTTTTTCTTTTAGATTTCGTGCAATTTATTTCGCACATTGCCGCCCAGTGAAAATCCCGATTTTGATCCGGAAGAGGACGATCCAACACTGGAGGCATCGTGGCCCCATTTGCAACTGGTCTATGAGGTGTTCTTGCGTTTTCTGGAATCCCAAGATTTTCAGGCGACCATTGGCAAACGTGTGATCGATCAGAAGTTTGTGCTGCAGGTGAGTTTCCAAATATGTTTGCCTACCGAAATTGCCATTATTTAAACAATTGATACACCTGACACAGCTATTGGAACTGTTCGATTCGGAGGATCCGCGCGAGCGTGACTTTCTAAAGACGGTCTTGCATCGCATCTATGGGAAATTCCTAGGCTTACGTGCTTTCATACGAAAACAGATTAATAACATATTCTTGAAGTTCATCTATGAGACGGAGCATTTTAATGGCGTTGGCGAGCTGCTCGAGATACTTGGCAGGTAAGCTACATACCTAATATATTACTGCTTACGTTTGGCTAACTTCATTTTTCATTCACTTTTCAATTTACAGCATCATTAACGGCTTTGCCTTGCCATTGAAAGCGGAACATAAACAATTTTTGGTTAAGGTTCTGTTGCCGCTGCACAAAGTCAAATGTCTGTCGCTCTATCATGCTCAGCTGGCGTATTGCATTGTACAATTCCTAGAGAAGGATCCATTCCTTACCGAACCGGTGGTGCGTGGTCTGCTCAAATTCTGGCCCAAAACGTGCTCCCAAAAGGAGGTCATGTTTCTGGGCGAAATTGAGGAGATATTGGATGTGATTGATCCGCCGCAATTCGTCAAAATACAGGAGCCACTGTTCCGCCAGATAGCCAAATGCGTATCGAGTCCACATTTTCAGGTGAAGAACTAAGCGATTAACATATGATATACTCCTCGTATTAAATATATGCATTTTTAAATATCGTATCAGGTTGCTGAACGTGCTCTATATTTGTGGAACAATGAATATGCCATGTCGCTCATTGAGGAGAACAATGCTGTTATAATGCCCATCATGTTCCCGGCGCTCTATCGCATCAGCAAGGAGCATTGGAATCAAACTATTGTGGCGCTTGTGTACAATGTATTGAAAACGTTTATGGAAATGAATTCAAAGCTCTTCGATGAGCTAACATCCAGCTATAAGGCGGAAAGGCAAAAGTGGGTGCTGGTATTTTGACTAATAATAATAAGATTGGCTAATTGATACAAATGATTTGATTGCAGGGAAAAGAAGCGTGAACGCGATCGCGAGGAGCTGTGGAAGAAGTTGCACGAACTCGAATCAAATCGTTCCAGCGGGCGCGCCGCAGGCGGCAGCGCTGCAACAGCAGCAAACAGCGCAACGGCAGCTGCGGCGGCGGCGTCGTCGTCGTCGTCGTCTTCGTCACTCCAGCCGCCAAACATAGCCGGCGGCGGTTCAATGAACTCTCATCAGCAACAGTCGAATAACAGCAGCAGCGGCAGCCTATCCAGTGGCGGCGTTGTTGGTGGTGACAATAATCCTGCGACAGCAAATTCAAAACTAAAACCCGAAAAAGCAGACAACTAAACAGATGCAACGCAAAGCGCGCTGGAAACTAACAATAAACAACAGAAACAACAGCAACAGCAACCACAACAGTTAAATGCAAGAAGAACACGAACAACAACACATAAAATGTCAGCCGGCTCACGTACACACCCAAACCCACACACACACAAATGAACACAAACACACACACACACACACACACACACACACACACATTCATCTATATATAAAATTAAAATCAAAGAAATAAATAAGAATGAAATTTGTTGAGCTGGCGATAAATAGTTATAAACAAAATGCAGCTTATGCTAAAACTTAATAAATATGAAAACTAAATTGTATACTCGTTTAACAAGACACCAAAAGCAAGTGGCTGCTGGAGTGGCAGGATCAGCATCAGGGCGTGGCTAAACTAAATGCTTGAGGAGCGCAGCAAGAAAATTCTATAAAATATAATATCTAAAAAACACTACTTACACACAACCAACACCAACACACACACACACACACACATATTATAAATACATATAAATATATATATATATTACAAGAGCAAGAAGATAAAATATATTATTAATTAGGTTTAAGTTAAAGAAACAAAAGAAAAGAAATTGAATAAAGCGTAAAAGTGTTAGTAAGTGAAACAAGAAATAGCTGAGCGCGAGCCCAATGTTCGATGATTGTTAGGAACACGCATTGAAATATTATAAAAAAAACTAAATAAAATATATACTAGACGTGTTGCTAGCCTATGCTAGCCTAGAACAGCTGCCCAAAAAAAAAACACACACACACACTAACACTCTAGTTAACGTTTTCTATTGCCCGCGCTCCCCTGCACAAGCATTATGAATGTGTATAAACAAATACTATCTAAATATATATTTTATTTCGGAACAATTCGAAAATAGAGCAGTCTCTGGTATGTGTCCAACTTTCAGCTTTTATATATATATATATATATATGTATATATATATATGTATGTATATATATATATATATAGGCAAAACCCACTGATAACTTCAATTGTATATATGCGTAGGCATGCATGCCCACACACACACACACATATAAATACATTCAAGTGCATGTGTGCATGTATGTCTATATGTATATATACGATATATAATATATAAGCGACTATGCAAACTTTGTTACTTATATTTAAGGTGTTGCACATGCCGTCAGAAAGTTTCAAAAAATATTTAGAGAAAAAAAACTGTTCCAAAAGCTATTTCGACAATTTGCAGATAACGCGCAGATCTATATATATATATATATATATGGTATATATATGGTATATATATATATATATGTATAAGTAAAGTAATAATTAGCAAGATTCAACACAAGAGAACAAATTAAATAAAACTGATCAACTTTATACACACATATAAAAAAAAAACACATAAAATGCTGATCTATATATAAATGCAAGTAATTATATATAAAATGTATGTGTGGCAAAAAAGCGTCTCCTAAGTTAAAGTTGCAATCAAATGAGTTGCGTTTGCATAGCATAATATGTTCAAGTGGAAATTCGAAATGAAAATGAGAGATGATATTTGCATTGTATAAAATGTTGTAAGCTAAAGAACCGAAGTAAACATTAAAGTAAAGTCGTTAGTCTCTAGTTTAACTAATGGAACGTTCGTTATGTTAAGGTAGGCACCACACACACACACACACACACACACAATCTCGGATACAAACATTTTCACGTTTCACAGTTATCAAGCGTTAAACAATTAACTGAATATATGCCTGGGGGCGACAGAAAAGGAAGCTAAAATAATTGGCTACGAAACTTCTTCTCAGCTAAATTGAAAAACTAGACTTTTTCTCGCTTCAAAACTCTTCAACAAAATGCGCACAACTTCCGAAGAATTCAACTGGGCAAAAATTTTCAATGTAAATATTGTAAGAATAAAATACAAAATCGTAAAAAAAATAATAATCATATTTGTGTGTCGCTGCTCTAAAAAAAAACTCAAAACATAACTAAAACAACAACTCATCTATCCAAGCAACACACACACACACACTCACACACTTAGGCGCACTCTCATACTAACAAAATATCATAATCAACGGAATATTAAATTAAACAAAAAACAAAAGAATTATACATAAAATAATAATATGTATGTTTGTTCATTCAACTCACGCCCATTACAAAAGTATCTAAGCATGCATAATCCAAAAGTTAATAATAACAAAAAGCAAATAAATAAATTAAAGATACGATACATACCTACATACAAACATATATATATATATATATATATATATATATATGTAAATTATATATAAAATTGTGTCTGTGAAACGTAAGTTATTTTATGCAAACATATGAACGAGGTAAACAAAAACATAACAAAACAAAAATGCAGCGTTAAAAAAACATGAGTTATTATTATTAAATATGTTTGTAAACGTCAAAAAATATGCAAAAAAAAAAAAAAACAAACAAAAGAATAAAAGTAAAAGAAAAGTAAGCAAAATAAAAACTTAAACTAAAATGTCATCTAGTAAAACGAATAAAAGAAAACTTAAAAAAAATAAATATATATATGCGACATATATATGAGAAGCAGAATCTATGGCCTAAATTCTAAGCAAAGTGTGTATGAAAGTTTTGCATCTTTATATTAGAGTGTAATTAAGGTGAATAATTGACAAAACCAAATTGCATATGAACAATATGGCACAACAAAAGGATAACAGAGAATACATTTAAAAAAAAAAGCAATAGACTCTCTCAAACATGATAATTGGCTAACAAGTTGATTCGGTTAGGCAACAAGCTCTGTGGCAGAGTATTTGATATGAGCGCATTTTGTGGCGCCACATTCGAAGCAATAAACATGTTGGAAAAACACACACACACACACACACAGACAAAAATAATAATTAAAACAAAAATTGTTCTATTAAATGAAATCAGAGCCCCCCGCCCCGCGCCCTCTCCCTTTCGAGTTTAATGTTAAAATTCACATGGAAATGCCAATCAAGTGAAAGAAAATATAACTTAAATCTAGAAACTGTAAAAAAAAGCAAAAAGCGAAAATGTTAAAAATGCCTGACAAAATGCAACTTCATCTATATATATATATATATATATATATGAGTATATATATATGTATATATATATATATAGATGAGGTGCTGTTTTTTAGATTTCTTTTTTTGTGTTTTTGTGATGTTTAATGTTTTTTTTTTTGTTGCACTTTGAGTTAATGTTTAGCCTGCTTTTCAATTTACATTTGTAACTTTAACTATAGTTTTATGTATTTATATGTATAAATAAATAAAAAAAAAAAGGAGCATGTTGAAAAATAGCTGCTAAAAGTGTAAGCAAAACTCGTTAAGTACTTTTAGAGACAAAACTGTACTAAAAAAATATTTAAAAAATAAAAAATAAAGTCGCATTAATAACAAAAAACATTAAATATATAAAAGAAAAATTAAAAAAACAAAAAAAAAAACAATATAAGGCGCTTTAACAATATTAAAACATATTGCATAATTATAAAGTGTGAAATATTTTCTTATGTTCTAGACTTGTAAAAACAAAACAAAAATATAATAATGAACCTAACGTATGATATCGTGTGTGCGACTAGAGCGAAACTTGATTTTTGTGTTTTGGTTCGTTGTGCTAGACTTTTCCGGAATTCTTTTGTTAATTTTCTTTGGCACACGAGCGCTATGTTTTAGACATAACAACTAAACAAAATCTTATGCTGAGTATAAAAATAAATACATTATAATTACACTAAAAACAAACAAACAACAACAACAAAAAAACAAGCGAAAAACAACAAAAACAAATTATAAAAAATAAATGAAAATATATATAAAAAAAAAAGAAATTTGTTTGTTGCATATCAAGCAGTTGAGCAAGCAGTTGCAATTAGGGCAACAGGAAATGCGTACAAGAGAAATATTTGTAGAAATGGCCCATTTGCTTGTATTGGCTATTTAATTATAGCACACAGCTTTTGACAGCTGTTAATAGCATATGCAAGCGATACAAAGCAAGTAACTTAAGCAGTTAGCAAGCAGTTCAATTCCAAGCAAAAAGTAAATGAGCTGCGAATAGATCCCATACAAAATTTATAATGCAGACTGTATAGTAACAGGCAGCTCTTGACAGCTGCAACATAACAGCGCTCTAATTAAACTGCAGTTATATAGCAGCCACTGTCAAATGCAATGAGCAGATGGTTATACAAAGCAAGCAGTTCAAGTGAAGCAACAAAAAATAACAACCAGATCAGTCGACTCACAAAAGCTTAAGTATGTTGCATGTACAATAACAATCAGCTCTTGACAGCAGCAAAGCTCGCTCAAATGAGCTTTTGCAGTACTTGCCAATGCAGCACCGCAGCGCTCCAATTGGACGTCAGTCTAAACGTCTCCGCGGCCAAATGCAGTCGCTAAACGCAACAAACAAAAAAATCAATAGTGCATAATTAGACATTTTATAATATTAAAGGCAAAAGTGCATTTATTATTGGAAAACTTAAAGGCCATGAAGTGGGAAAACTATTGTGATTTTGTTGCAGGCTGTTTTGGTGGTTAGTTTTTTCGATTCTTTTGCATTTGAGCACGGCGTAAATGACGCAATGCGGCAGCTAAAGCGGAGACACTTGTTGACGGATTGTCGAGAACGGCAGCTACAGTGAAAGCTCAACTAAAGGACAATACGAAATCTCGAAATTTCCACAGATAAGACTAAATAAATTTCAATAAAAATCGCAACTTAAAATTAAGTTGCAAAAAAAGGTTTATTAACAAATTCCAATTTGAGCATTTTGCGCCTGTTCGCCAAAGCGAGCTGTCACTGTACTTGCCATCGACGACGTCACGGTCAAGTTCATGTGCAGGCGCCCCTGATCCGTGGCGTATTTTTGGGCATGAGATTCGAAATTCTTGGCAAACCAATGGGGCCGTCTAGTTCGCCTTAAATTTCTACAAGTTTTTACAACCCGAACCCATTGAAAAATGTGTAATAACGGTATTAGGACCGGCATATATGTATGTACATATAGACAGAGACAAAAGTCTCTGATTACTTAAAACTGGGTCTGTTCGACTTGATATCGATCTCAAGTTATCGATAAATTCGAACATCGACCAGAATCGATATTCCGTTTATTGAGCATATCTCAGAGCCCATAAGCCCTTGCTTCCGAAACATCCCGCCCATTTGCCACATTTGTCCACACTATCCGCGAATTTGCATGTAGATCGAGTTTATCGAGAGGCACAGACAAGCCGTGTTAAGTTAAGTTAGGTTTGTGTACAGGGTATTTGGTAGTCGTGCACGCCTGACTAGTGCACTTTTCTATGCTCCTAATTAAAATTCCTGTTCGTTTATTTT